AATAGACCGAATCTGACTCCTTTTTTGTTGTTTATTCCGGAGACGCGGTATTGTGTGTAGGTGGAAGTGAACCGTGGTTCTGTATCTGAAGCTGGTGCCAAACATTGCCAGACCTTAATATGCAAAAGTATGGCGCATAATTGGGGCAACAATGGCACTTAAAGGTACACTAAAATCTCACGCAAAAAGTCAGTTCGTGAGTCGGCAATCCGGGCTCCCTGCTGCGCAACGCCCGACCTTCTTATCCCCTTCCCTCTTCCCTCTCCCGTCTGTCCCATGGCCGAGTGAGTCAAAAGTACTGGCCCTGGGCGTGTGGCGAGGGTTCAGCTTTGCCCCGCGGCGAGCACCTTACCGTAACCCTTTTTGCTATTCCGCGGACGGTTACCGGCCGGTAACCACACCAACGAGGCTTTGTGTGTACCTTTGAGGACAAGGCGCCCCCGGGACAAGAAGTCATCTATAGTTTTCATTCATGTCCGCACCTGGGAGGGTTCAAAATAGAGTCTGATTAATGAGAAAAATATAACTATTTATTGTTATTTCCAGGCCAACGCGAACGCCGTGAAGGTGAATTGGATTTCATTGTCCCTATCGGGTGCGGAATGCCAAACCAAGAACGATGTCACGTCCCACCGAGTGCAGCAAAAACGTCCATTTCTCCGTCCGGCCTTTGTCTTATGTCTTTTCGCGTGAAGTTGTCATGGAGCCACCAAGGTTTGGGTCTTCACTTCTGCCTTTGTAACCAAATCTACATTTCCCCCTTGTTTCAACTCCTTGTGACGAGCAATTGTTGCTAACCCTGTTCTGGGAGAGCCCTAGGATCTAGCTCTAGTCTTATTGCCATTTCAGTATATTGCATTTAGCCAGCTGTCTTTCCAAAATTTGACCCAGTCGATAACCTATTTTTCACAAATAGTCGTAAAGGGCTCTCCCAGATCCATTCCTTCCAACTCGTCCCCTAACTATCCAGTATCTTTATATTTGTGCTAATCTTTCATTAGCTTTCTTAGAACAGTGTAGGCTATTTTTCAGCCATAGCTTTGCAGGCAAAGATTAATCCCTCCAATTAAACCCCCCAGCAGGCTCTGGCGGTATTTTGTTACACCAACCACTCGTGACCAGATATTTTTTCCCTTCCTTTACGGTGTTCAAAGCATTTCAGTATTGCTGGACATATATTGTGCCTTTGACTCAAAAATCCTTGCCATGTCGATTCCTCTTCCGCGTCTCTTTTTTTTCGACGTTTTTTCACGTTATCCGTTTCTCATTTTTTATCGATCCATGTTACTTTCTGTAACGTAATATCCTCTGCACGCCACGTTGTGTCTCAGACCCATACAAACCCTTCTAAATTTCAGATCTCAAGCAGTGCGATCACAAGAGTTATCTGGGGTTCAAATTCGAGCTATTTCCGCAATGTGCTCTTCACGTGTCTCGAATGGTAGTCCGTTTATTCACTATCAATCATATGCTGTCGCCCTCCTTAATTTAATGATTCTCGTCATCAAATGGGATCTCAAACATCTCCTCCATTCCCCCAGATCCCACTTCAACTAATGATTCTATCCCCAAATATGTACCGGCGACGGCGTGTCTTCTTTTTTGTTTCTCTTTGCCCTTATAGATTTTCGTTTGTGTGTGTGTTTTTTTCTTTGCTATCGGTCAATTTTGGTCTTGATTTGGCCAATAAATTTTTCTAAAAGTGATTGCAATATGCGGGAATATACGATAGTTCTGGCCCAAAAAACAGAGGAAAGCTAAGCAAGTTTGTAGAATTTCACCAAAGCGATTAAACATAAATTAAAAACGGTAATGTTACAAATTGCGAGAAACTCTGATATCTTCAAATCTTGTTCGTATAATTCTCAAATACTCAAAATGTTTAGAAAAATCTTGATTCTGCTTTAAAAATAAAGGCAGCATCTTTTTGCCATTCTGACCCCTCAAAAAATCAAATAATGAAAATCGTTGTTTTCCTCCTCATCGTCGACACAGTAATTCCTTTCGGTCAATTCGAATAATATTTGCCGGTAGCGACAAAACGGAATGGCTTCCCTGAAAAATGAAGATGCACAGCGCCATCTCAAACTAATCTACGACACACTTGATCACAAAAGAGGGGGCAATTTTCCGGAATTCTCTGAGGTCACAGACGTTCGGGGCTTCTGTTACGTACAAAGTGAATATGGGGTCGAAGCCGAACAAGCAGTGGGTGTTATGATGTTTTGTAATGGGGCCCTAAAAACAAGAATTATCGGGAAATACTTTACAAATTATACACGGCGAACTTGAGATGCGGTTTGCAGAGCGGGCGTCGCTCTGGGAATCTTCTGGAATGCAGAATCCCGATCGCATTCTGACGCCTAATCCATCTTATAAAGAAGCACCCTTTTTTGATGTTTTTCGAGAAAATATGTTAATCGGTCAGACATCGGCAAATGTCGTTCCGTTTTTGGTAAGTCCGATTGAGGGCTTCAATCCCGTGCTCGGATTATCAGAAATTTGAACTGAACAAAGACGCGTGCAAGAATGTCTGAGAAACTATATGCAGCGATCTAACTGAAAGTCATCGCCCTCTTGCCAGATTGCCCTTTTTCCGCTACCGTCTGAAAAGCGGCAATTCATCAAATATCCACGTTGTTTTTAATTTATGCTTAAAAACGTAGATCAGCGTTTTAAAACTTACACCTTTTTGAAATATCAATTTGCCGATAGGCTTCGTGTATCTTTTACCGGTGGTCGCAATCGGCAAGTTCTCACATCCACCAATTTTTTTTTGCAAAATATTATTTCTTCTGGCTGGGTGACAAAAAAGCAGCCTGAAAAAACGATACGGGAGCGAATAAAGTGACATGGCACCGAGTGGTACCGCAACTGAAAGTAAAACGAAAGGTTGTGCCCCAGATGAATTGAAGCACGGCGCAGAGTGGGTCTGGCAGAGCAATCAACTCGCTGGTCGCTAAGCAGTTGGCAGAGCAGCAGAATAAATCTCATAACAAGGGGTTGTTTGCTGTTTACAAGATTATTTTAGGGGTACAAGTCATAACCGGTGGAAATTTACTTTGTAAAATAATGGATTCTGTAGCTATTCAACTGGGGTAAAAGCTGTGTTTTTGCGCAATCCCTTCAGCATGAAGACGTTGAAAATTCAAATTCTTTAACGCTTATTAGCATCTGCTCTGCTCTCAATATATTTCAGCATAGGTTCAGGGGTTTCTCACGGGTTTAGCCCTTTCAGGGGAGGTTTTTACTTCTGTTAGTGAGTCTTTTTTTGATGTCATCGGTTAAATGATTGGAGACTGAAGCTCATTCGATAGAGAATTGAAGCCTCGAACAGCATACCGTGTTGTTCATTTTTACGGAATGAGTTGTTTCTGATTTTATAAAATTAAAAACTGCCTGGTGCGACGCCTCATACATTGGTGCTTGGGAAGCGAGTTATACGGAGGTTTGCGCTTTGTGGGATTTTTTTAATTTTATAAAATCAGGGATGTTTATTCCGCAAAATGGAAACAACACAGTCTTGTTCAGAATTCAATTCTCGATCGAATGAGCTAAGGTCTCGAAGCGTTTTGCCGATGACACCAAAAGGACACTCCTTGTTAGATTCCTCCAAAGAATGCTTCAATCCAGAGCCTGGAAATTTGAAATCGGTAATTTCGAATTTAGTATTTTAGAATTAGGGATTACGATCATTCAGTGTTGTGGCATTTAGAATTTTACAAATCTGGGTAGTTGTATCAAAATAACAACAACGCATTCTCAAAAAAGGCTGCCCTGCCGGGAGTAAAATAAGCTCAGCCTTCCTTTAATATTTAAATTTTTCGAGAAGGACCTGGTTCCTTTGTTATCAATCGGATGATAAGGATATTGATCCTCATCCAAGCCAGCTTGCGCCCTGCTAAACCAATGTAGTTCCTCTCCCTCCAGCCACGCTTCATTGTGCTTTTTAGACTCTTTGCAAAATAATAACAATTGAAGTCCAATGTTGCACCCACACAACTAACACCTTTCAGGAAACCTAAAACGCTTCTGCACTGTTGTAAAGTAGCATTTTCACGTCACTGATGGTTGCGGGGTAGGGGTGAATCGGAGCACCATCGAGTTGGAGGGTCTACGAGGGGAGAAGCTGTTTGATGCGAGAGATAATGGTGAGAGGGATGGAGTTGACAGAGGAGACAGAAGCCCTCCTGGTTCTCGCCTATGACTCTCGGCTCCTTGTTGCCGGCTGCGGTCGGCTAAGCGCACGATTATCACCCACATTAATATTTTATATCACTATCCTTACTTTCCATATTTCTTTTTTTTTTTTAAAATCTAATTTCCATATCATTATTTAATCTTTTTAGGTGGTAAATTGAAGAATTCGATTGATATTGGCAAGCCACGATGGGACCAGGCCACATTTGGAAGTAACGCACAAAGTATTTTTAAAATGGAGGTTTCTTTCAGGGTCGCCTTCGCCATTTTGGCATCCATTACCGATCCGCTTGCCGTATTTTTTACCCCAAGAAAGAGCTGCTGGCCGCCTGAAAGCTTGTATTCGATTACAAGTAATAATTTTCTAAAATGCCATAATTCGAATATAGGGCCGGATCCGGAGCCTGTAGGAATGAAATTGGAAGATGTGTACCGCGCGCAAAAGGTTTTTGGGACGGCTTTTCATCCGGATACCGGAGTAATTGCAGGTACCATTCTTTTTAGAAATAGTATCTAAGAAAACAAAATATGTAAGAATCTACCCGGTCGGATGTGTTTTAATGTATATGGCGGAACGATGCTTTGCGGTGCGATGATGATTTGGTATGCTAGCTTCAAAATTTTCTAAGTTTTTCGTGTGTTATTTTCAGGTACAAATCAACGCCAGCTGTCCTATTCTGGCAATGGGCGAACCAGTCTTTAATGCTTTGGTCAACTACACGAATAGGAATGCGAAGAGTTCCTTATCAACAACTGACTTAGTCACAGCCCATGCTGGGGCTGTCACTGGGGCCTTGGCGATGGCTACTGGCAAGCCATAGCAAAACGCATTGATATCCGTATAACTATTTCCACCGTATCATATCATATTTATTTGCCCATATTGTCGGTTTTATTAAATTCTAGAGAAAACCCCAAATTAAATAGCATCTCATTTATAGGGTTGAAAGCCTATTTTGCTAAACGCCAAGTCAGCACGATCCTCCAAAGATGGGTGCTGCTTTCGGCTGTTGCCGTTAGCGAATGCTATCAATATCCCAATGATGCGTCAAAAGTTAAGGTAGATACCGATTGATCAGCTGTGTATATTTTTAAAGTGAGCTTAAAAATGGTGTTGTATGTGAAGATGAGCTAACGGGAATGCCGCTGGTAATTTCAAGACTAGCTGCCGTTAAGGGTACTTCCCAAGTGATTCTCTCATGATCGCTATCGTCGCCCCGACTATGGGTTAGAAATTTTCGGCATTGAGCCTTGAGGCTGTAAAATCTTTAGTGGTAATCCCTTTGATCGTGTGAGGGATTAAACAAGATTGCCTCTCATTCCGGCGGAACTTGAAATATCTGAACATACCAACACAGCTGGCGTTGACCTTTATCATGTGAGTTTTCTTGTGTAGTACGGTGCCTACGGGAATTTTAGTTACGGGGCTGTATGATGGTTCCAGTGGGACTGTGCTGTATACCCTCAAAGAAGGTACGTTTTTGCAGTACAGATTTGATTATTTTATGATTTTTTCTGTGTAAGAAAGTCCATCTAAAAACTCAAGAAAAACTAGAGAATTAATTCCTTGTTCTTTTAACCATCATTACAGCGTTTTTTAGCTCCATTGAACTCTGAAACCCTGAAAAAACCCGAACCCGAAGCCTACGACAAAATGAAGACTAGTGGATTGACGACGGTTTATTTCAACAAAGGATTGTAGACCGATACATTAAATATTAGGTATAGAATGTAAACAACGGTGGTCAAAATAAACTGATTTTGGCATATTTGACTGTATCAGGGTTACTGTGCCGTATATGTGGAGAAGCATTTGGTTCCGAAGAAAGACCCAGTTTCAATAAACAAAACAGGGGGGATGGAAAGGAAGGGGAGTAAAGGCTGAATGAAATGAGGAATCTGAATATGGGGAGAAGTGGGATGCAAGTGAATCGTGGAAATTGTCGTGTATACATTTATATCCAAGAATTCGAAAAAGCTAAGGGAATGATGCGTGATTCCAAAGTATTCGTAGTCGTTCGATGTTTTTGGACGCAGGTCGAGTTAGGAGTGTCTTTCCTTTAGGCGAGACGTTTGCACACAGCAAACCTAAAGAAAATGGATTGGTCGTGTGGGTAAATAGGGGGTGCGTGGAAAGTTGAATTGGCGGAAGTGTAGGGCTGTAGCGGGAGGGTACGGTAGTTTTGAAAACAAACCCTATAGCGGCTCCGATGACGCAAGTTACGCAAGTTGCCCATTAGCATTCCGAGGACAAAATTGAATGTGCTTGAGGCCAGGGACATGGTCTGCTTGATCACCTGAAAAAACAAATACAACGAAATTCGAAAAAATACCTTTTAGAGCCATAGTTTTTTTTTAGACTCTACAAACAAGCAAACGCATTTAACAGCTTCGGTTTGGGCGAATTCGGTGGTGTAGTTAGATTACTACCATACTGCCTCATTTCACTGACCTGAAACAAAAATTATTTCTACATACAAGTTTTTGTTTCATAGATTTACATCTTCATAACTGGTTTTTGAGATAACACGTACTTTGGCGGGACAGCTTCCTGACGACCGCTCCAGTCCCAGATCCAATCCGTATTCTTTCCCGGAGGCAACATCTCACGGACAAGCTTATATTCACAGCTTCCAGTCGATTCAAACTCGATATGCGGACTTTGCAGGGAAGCTGTGGCCAGAATAATACCATTAAGTTTTCAAAGCTTTTAAATAGTACCTCAAGCGTGAGTCCTTGTCAATCTTCTCACCCCCATCAAACGACGAAGTTAGACGATTGCCTTGAAGGCGCTAATTCGGTCCAAGATTCCAATTTCAGGGTTTAGCAGGATATAACATTTGCGTTTATTACCTTCCTGGCTGACACTCGAGCCTTGCTCATCCATATGTCTCGCTTCTCTTGGATGCCCAACTTCTTCTTGACGTCAAACATTTTGTAGCGGCCAACATCAAAGAAATGAAGACATTATACTAAAAGAAATGAAATTAGCAACAGCTAAGATAAAAAAGATCACATATTAATTTTTAGGTATCATCAATACTCACCCGAGTGTGTTGACCCGCGCTAAAAATAAAGATCACAAAGTTGTTGGGTGGAGGTTGATTTCGGTTGATGAGTGACCTGAAATTATCGATTAATTAGTGCATGAGCTGATGATGATGCTTTAGAGGACATGAAATGAGGATTCCTACAAGACTAGCTCCCCTCTTTGTTGACAAAGAACCCCGGATGGCTGCTTGTTATTTTCTTAGTCCCCTTCCTGTTACTTGAGAGCCGAACGGAACCTCTGCATTGGCTGCTAAAGTCATGGGAAAGAATGCAGCCGGTATCCCTGGGTACTTGTTTTGAACTGTCATTTCGGAATTGCGTTGGACTGTTACAAATAGCTATTGGCTATCAGGTGTTGTGTGGGGAAATGCACGGTGTCTGGGGGGCTGTCACGGAATTCGAAATGAAGGGGAGGGCGGGAATCGGGGGCTGGAAACGGGTCAAAGAGTTTTTTACTTTTCGTTTTGCAACAAAAACGGTTTTCGGGAAGTGGGGGAGGGGTTACGGTACGGGCTCGTGAATGTGGCCAAAAATTAGAAAGATGCACAGTATATTTCCAAAGTAAAATGAAGGGATGATCTATGATTTTCCATTCCACATTATAATTCAAATTACAAATATTGTTACGTTGCATATAAAATTACAACAAAAATCTGAGCCGACCAAAAACTGTTCAAAATTCTGAAACTACAGATTTGAAAAATATAGAAGACTAAAGACTAAGACAGCCAAAAAATAAAGGAACGGCTGATAAGGACACACACAACCTTTTATCTGCTGATTACTACAACTTCAGGCTAAACATGCTAATATGATATGCGTACATCAGCCTAATTAGGATGCAAATTACAAACTTCAAAAAAGCATACTTCCTGTTCTTCTCTTTTCGATTTGCATCCCGATATCGGCTTTATATGCAATAACATCTCTAGCAAAAACTAATAAACAAAATAGATTTATAATTCCAAATTCCTATTCAAATCACCAAAACCATAACGAGCCTCTACCCAATACGGTCATCAAGAGGATAAAGCGGATAATTGGGGGCGTTCCCGGGCATAACTAGGGCCTTTAGCCGGATTGGTGCCAGGGTACCCTAGAGGGCTATTCTCCCTACCACGTTCGTATATATGGCCATGTGCTGGCTGGGTATCGACCAGCCTATGTAGCCTGCAACAATGGGGATGGCCACGTCCTGGGCCCCCTCCCAAAGGCTAGATATCCTGGCCATAAAGGCCTCGGCCGATTACACCAAAAGCCGCTACATCTGATGCTAGAGCATAGTCGGATGCATCAAACGGTTAGGGGTAATGGCAAAAAATCTGCGAAAAATAATGAAATTATTACGAAATAAAAGTAGGGTTTTGACCTAATACAAGCTAATGTCTGTCTATTAATCAGAATTCCCCTCGTAAGGTCATAGACATCACGGTACCAACAAAACAGATAGTCAAACCTGATTTAAGAATTAAGCAAAAACCTCGAAAAAAGTAATGAAATATTGTTACGAAATATAAGTTGTTGTCTCGTTCAGATAAATTTTTGAACTTGTAGTTCGGTACATACAAATCAAATTTTCTCCATATTTTAGACCTGACCGTGGTAGTAAATGGTCATACAAATCAGTTTACCGATTACTTACAATAAAATGTAATTTTTGCTAGTCCCTCACTAATTTTGTGGGAGTAAAACCGATTCTTTCGACTGGGCTGATTCTTTGACACGCGACTCTGTTAATTCGACAGGCTGAGAATTATTTAGCCAACGAAAAAGGAAAAATCTCCAAAAAAAATATTAAAATATCGGTTGCTGGATTTGATATCTGAGCTTTCTTGGGGTACGGTACCCGAAGAAAGCTCCGGAAAAAATAATTCAAACATTTTCAAGCCACCTAATCAATGTTAACCGCCAAAATCAAATCACGGCCACCCACTCAAAGGGATAAGCCCAAGATGCTACAAAATCCTATCACGCTGTCGAAATTGGAGGTATTTCGCCAACAAAACCGTGTAAAAACCGATTCGTCTCCGGAAAAGGGGCGCCATGAAGATGCTCACGTGCTAAAGCCTGATCTAGGCGCTTCAGTGAAAGAAAAGGAAGAGCCGTCACGTAGCTTGCGGTGTTTTTAGGCGTTCTCGCCGCTGGGGGGAGTCGAATTGGGGCGATCAGCTGATGGAAGGATGAGAGACAAGGGTGGTTGAGGAGATGGTGGATTATGAAAGAGAAAAGGTCACCAGCTAGAATGGATTGTGGAGAGAGCAGACATACACACACGAGACAAGCACGCGCTCACGCTAAATCGATGCGCCGTCATGTGAGGCCACACACAGACACACCGAAGAGCTGAGGAAGAGGGAGCCCTTTGTTTTAGCCGACTTTCCGGAAGAGAAGCTGGTGTTTGGCCAGGGGGGAGTGATTATCACTGGATGCACCCCGGCAAAAACAACCAAGGTCCTAACATCGACTTTTGAGGCGGTAGACAAGGAAAAATTTAGCACGGAATTTATGAAAACTATAGGGAAAAAACCACATGATTTAATTCTTGAACAAGAAATTTGGAAACCAAAAGTAATTTTATAGAGAATTTTGGGTAAATAACTAGTCCTATGGGGAAAACGCGCACCGATGCGGAATAGTGCCTCCGGCAAATTCGGCATCCGGTTTTCCCGTTGTTGGTTTTTCACAAGCAAACACAGAAAATAATAATTAATTTTGAATTGATATGGTTGATACGTGTAAAAATATCATTGTTTTAAGCAAGGCATCTAAAGGAAGCAGTAGGTACCTACAGTAATCCGCAAGGTTTTATGATCCATATCGTTAAATTCTCTGCATGCGACCTTGATGAAGCGGCACAAAAACACAATTCTTCTAGAGCCATAGCTATTAGCAATGCTTGTAATAAAACTTTATCATTACTGGAATATAGCCAGCGCGTAGTAGCATAAGGGCCGGAACTTATCACAAAATCAGTTGCAGGCAAATCGGGAGAGTTGGTGTAGAGGAAGACATTGCAAAACCAAGGAAGTAGCCCGTTTAGATGTCGCGACAACAAAAGACATGGACACGTGGGGGAATAGAAAGATATAGAGGAAGTATATTTTTCTGTTATATTGCATTCCAGGGGTCACTTTGGTGGGCTTTGGCTTGTGGGTCGATTGGCGTGGATTTGGGGCATTATTTAGGAAATGTGGATAGTTTGGGGATAGGAGGGATTGTATACACCACCGGGTAGTATATATCAATGTTGCGACCAATTGCGCATAATATTCAAATACGTATATTTGAAAGTTGGAAACTTGCTCTTAATTTTGGATTATTCTAAAGGAAATTGGAAACCATAAAAGCAAAATTTCCGCATTTTTTGACGTGCTAAAAATATCAAGGCATTAATAGACTTTGAATTTGTTCCAATATCCCTTTAAAATCACTTCAATGGAATTTTTTTTAGTTGAGCTAGAAGCATTTTTGGCAATATGAACGGAATTGTGTGGTAAGGCATCGTTTGGAGGCTTCAAAAGGCAGGGGCAGTGCAAAACTACGCAGGCAAAATGTTAATATAACTGAATTAAAATTGAAAATGATAGGAAATATGAGTGGAGTGGAAGGGCTCAATATTATTCGAAAAATATCGACTAGGATGATGTTATGGATGGTGTAAAGACAAGGTTGACTGGGGACTTGTTTTAACGGGTCGATTGCAGGTCCATACTAGTCGCGATTAGCATATACCCAGTTTACAAGCCCCGAAAAATAGATTAGGCGGCGCACCAAACTATAATCTAACTCGCCGAGGTGGGAAGTAATCTAAGGTAGCACAAGCATTTAAAATGACATTGAATTGTGTAGCTTATAGCTTTGTATGCTCATCAGGTTTCGGCTTCGCGGGAAGGGGAGGCTTCACACGATTCGTTCGTTCTAGGGTCGAGACGGGGCGTTGGCTGCAAATTGGTTTTGTTACGGATTTATTCGCTTAATTAAAGTAGGGAGGCTGTGAAGCAAGCGGTTACCTTAGACGCGCGTTGTTCGTCTATAGATTTGTTTAAAGGGACCGAAAATTTTTGAATTAATTTGCATGGATCACATCGAATTTTAAAAACGAATAAAAAATAAGCTTACCCATGTTCCGGTGTACTCTCCAACGTGATTAACGTCCGATTCTCAGCGTCATGCAATATTGGGGCTCGATGTGGTACAGAAACATTTGCTAAAAACGTTTTAGATTTTTGGTTGTTTCCATGGTTTCCTGTGTTCTCTGGTTTTCAGGAACTCACAACTATTTTCAGCGGGCTTCTCCTTTGCCCCCGACACATCGACAACCGGGAATCGTCCTTTAACTGGCACCTGCTGTGTCGTAGAAGTGCCCTATAACAGAGTAACGAACCGCTCGAGTTTTGCACCTGAATTGCTCCATGATAGCTGAGGGGCCGAGAAGAAATACTTGGGCGGCTTTGTAGCGTTGGTTCGAGTACTTTTGAATACACCTAAATTCTTATGTATCTTCGATTAAACAAACGAAAATTACCAAATTTTCCGGCATCTTTTTTGTCTCGGTTTCGCTGGAATATGCATTCATCGAGTTCAGAGATTCCTGTGATGCAAGCTTTTTCGAGTCATAAAATGAGCCCGTCAGCTCCTTCTCAAACAGGTCGAGGGATGTCAGATCCAAATCTCGTGATGGTACCTACATTATCAATCATTCGAGAAGTCTTTTGCGAACCTACGTTGTCATACGGGCTTGTCATTTGCATCGATTCATTGACGATTTCGAGGGGATAATGCGGAACAGTAAAGCTCGCAGATACTTTTTCCATATTCGGGACGACATGGGTACGTTCTTGTTTGTTCTGAATCGGAAAATAAGGATAAGAATGAAAATAACTAGCCTTTGTGGAATTTCGTCTAGCTGGAGGTGTAGGTTGAACGGGTGGTGGACTGAAGATAGATTCAAGGTCAGATCTAAAATTTTGAAAGTAACAACTTGCTTTTCGCTTTAAAAATAACAACATACCTTATGGCACTAGAAGCACTTTGCTTTGTATTGGCTGGAGGAGGAAGCGGGGCCGGTTGTTTTGGTCTGACTGAAGAAGAACGACCCGGCGAAGGCGAAACCGCAAAAGAAGGAGAGGGATGGTCAGACTGTCTTAAAGTTTGCGCTTGATTTGATCGATTATTAAATACATACCTATTCTTATTGCCCATGGTGTCCACTGCCAGGGCATTTCCATGATCATATTGCTGAACTGGGCTCGGTAGCGAACGATTGACTAGAGAATTTTCAGAGGAGATCGAGGCATACGAGGTGGAGCTCGCAGGAGAATTGGAAAGTCCGGTCTAAAGAAATGTGTGTATTGATGAGTAATTTTGCCTACTTTTGGTAATGACGGGTAGTCATATTGTCGATGCTGATATGGATCCACATCCACTGGGACATGAATATCTGCTGCGTGTGCCGATCCAAATAATTGACCTGCATTCTCAAGGAGTGCTTCGACAATCTAGAAAAATGAGCTTATTCATAATTGTGGCTGTTTCTGTTACCTGCCGACTGGCAACATCATTCTCAATCGACGTCCCAACAAAGAGATTTGGTGCAAAGACAATAGCCATATTCCCCGAATTCATCCTTAATTAAAAATGCCCAAAAACCTGCGAAGAACTCACATTGTAACATCCTCATATGTAAGCATTTCAGAAAGGAAATTCATCAGATATGTCAAGTTATTTCTATTTGCCGCGGGCATACCGTGGATAACTTTTTGAAGCGCATTCACCCGAGCGGAGCCGTGTAAACTACAAAAAGCTGCATTGTTTTTTCGCAGGTTTCAGTCACCTGGCTGCATTCGTCCAGGCATTTACCAAGTCTCTCGTCAACAACGGTTCCGGCAATTCTCGAAGATAGCATTTCAGTACCGAACATACCTAATGACATAAATATTAAAAATTAATTATTATTTTGCTACCGCATGTTGATCCCTTGAATATTCTTCCCAATTTGTATGATATTGTGAAGCGTCGAAAGCCGCTTTCATCCGTTTGATTCGGTTGACGTTTCCATTGACACGAAACATTCCTAGAATTTCCAGATCAATACCCACCACATAATCACTACATCTAAACCACTATCGACAGACGTTTCCGAGTTGAAAGCCAGATAAACAAATTTTACATTCGCCTATAGCATAAACCCAAGGAGACCGAACCCAAATAAAACAGAAAATAATGCAAAACCTCGAACTGCTGGCACTAATCGACCATGTTCATCTATTGGAAATGCAAAGATAAATATTTTCTGAAAAAATCGAGCTTCAAAAATTACCTTTTTCTTTTTCAGGATTATGCCGGATCATGGCGCAGCATTCTTCAATCACCAACGCAATATCCCGATTTGTGCGCTTCAAATGATCCTCCAAATCAACCCCGAAAACGGGGGATGGATGAGCATTTTCTAAAGGGATTTAGTCAAGCGGTCAAGATGTAAATTACCGATGTCCAACAGAATTTCCGGCAATGCATTTTGATAGAGCAACAATGCGGAGTGATGATATTCGATTTGCTCCTCCACAAAATTGGCGAAACTTGCAGCTATTTCTTTTTCTTTTGAGAAGAGACTGTACATTTCAATAATCGTGAGGTCCTGAAAAACAAACAGAATAATGTATATTAGATACTTTAGGCAGTGGAACAATGATTTGTTGCTTAACTTGGTCTTAACCTACCTTATGTGTCTCCAGCTTCATTTTCGAGCTATCCAGATTTTCTTGCAACTCTTTCAGCTTTTCCTCCTCGCCATGTTTTGTGTTATTCAAAGATTTCTCAGCCAAATCCACGTCGATCGTCAGATGCGCTAATTTTTCCTATATTGACGGTCATAGATTTTGATAAATCGATCGATACCTTCAGTTTCGCTAGCGACTTATCCAATTCCACATATTTGCTCAATTTTTCCATCACGTTTTTCTCGAGTTTTTGCTCAAGGTGGATCTGAGAGAGGGTTGACAGAGAGAACTTTCCATACTTTTGCATCCATCGTTTTATTCACCGTGTCACTGATCTTTTTCATGACTTTTGTCACACAAGAGGCCGGATCCATTTGCGAGGCATCTGTCCCCAATTCGGTTACGAGCCCATATTCGTCCAATTTTTTCTAGAGTCAAATTAATTTATTATTGGTAAAACTTACCTTTTTCTTATCATCTTCCTTTGAGCAAGTTTTCAGGCATGTAGCCAAATTTTTGCGGAATGTTGCAATAGCACCGATCGTCTGAAATTAACATAGCAAGGGTATTTTAGATATAAGTGTTCTGTTATTGAATAATCTTACCCGTAAATTTCTCTGATCAACTGCTTGCACCTGCTGTAGTTCATCACGCTTTTCCGATCTAAAATGGACACCATAATCCAGAAAATTAAAAGTCGTAATTTATTCCATGTTTTTGAAGTTGATTTGAATTTTAAATAACACGGCTACATTCTCTAACCTGTGGAATCCCACTACAACCAATTTATGAGTTATAAATCATTTTAAAAGTTTTTATAAATATACAAATCAGATTTAATCAATAATACATGAAAACCATGTAAAAAGCAACAACTTACAATCCAAGATTTTGCTGGACCCGCATAAAACGCTGGCGCATGGCCTTATTTGCACGATCCATGGTTGACTACCCGATATGTACCAAATTGCGCATTCAGAAACTGAAATGTGTTGTTTTTGAAGTGTTGAAGGCGAGAGAATGCAAGAAAAATTAGAGATGAGGTGATGGGAATTGAGAGGAACGGCCGATGATTCACTTTGGCCTTTGCCTGTTTGCCTTCTTTTTGGGAGAATGGGGTGCACAGCCAGGGGCTGGTGTACGGTGGCTGGTTCGGATTTTAGGTGCTGGCGTGCAGATGGAAATTAAGGGGCTTTTCAAAAGTTCTCTGGAAATTATACGACGCAACTCCCAAAAACTTCTAACGTAATTTTGTGTAAATAACTTCTAACGTAATTTTGTGTAATTTTTCATTTTTATTAATCACATTGTTGTAAAAAAAATCAGCAAATTTACAGAAACCTGTACAAAATGAGCACGACATTCTATGAGCAATAAGTCCGAATATTGTTTTGTAAATTTTTTTTCAAAATCACGCCTAAAGCTATGGCACAGCGTCGGATCGTGGGGGGTTGTGGAGGAAAAGCCAAAATGGATCTGTTGACTAGAATTATGGCTGAGGTTTAAGGACTGAATAAGGGTCTAGAATGGACTATCCAATATAAATATACATAACATTTCAACACAATAGGTTAGGCTATACATATTTAGCGAAAAAGCTCATCTCGTCGACGAAGCATTCGCAGGAAACACGAACGTTTAGATTGAATTTTTTCCAGATCTGAAAAAAAATTCAATAAAACCTTTGATATATTCGGTAGTACCTGGCATTTCGCAGATCCTACATTCCGCAATACAACAAAATTCATATGTTTTTGCCGGCATTTACCATGGGCTTAAATGGAGTTTCCGAGGCCAGAAATACACTTACGGTAATCATAAAAGTATAGGCAAGCTTTATCAACGTCACATGTGACTTCGTTGATAAAGGGTGGGAAGAAATCTTCTGGTAACCTGAATTAAATTATGCAACCATTAAGCAGCGATGCAGATCTACCTTCTTATAGCTTGACAGGCGCCACATAACCTCAAATAACCAGCTTCTTCTGTTCCACGTTTATCACAACCAAATGGAATTATGTGGGATTCACCTGTAGATACGAAATTAGCACTTTTTAGTATCTCTTAAGGTATAGCTACTACCCGAATTGTTCAATTCTCACCGACAAGCTTCTGGTGGCGTGTGGTCTTTGCCTCTTCTTCTTTAAAAGAACTAGACGGCTGCTCGTCTTTCTGTTCTTCAAATAGAAGCGTGGAGACGAGGCGCTGAAGCTGAAGATTTGGAAGAACCCCTTGACCACAAGCCGACCTCTATTTCTCTTTTGCGTCTTTTGGGTGTCATTCGGAGTGCTGGGGAGAGTATTGTTCTTCGGGGTTCTACCCTGAAATAGATCACTGTGGAACATTCATCTTTGTTCTGTCTATAGGTTGCGCTAAACAGCGTCGGTTCTTTGAAATTTGGACAAATTCTAGGGGATTTTGGGAATGAAATCTTGCATCGTAGTTAGTGAGCTATGGTATCTGAGCATACTTTTTATGCTGAAGGAGTTTTGCTTGATGATAGATATACTTTAAATATAAGAAATACTACAAGTGTTGGAACTAAGAAAACTTTGATAACCACCAAATCTTGTTCTCAAAAATAAGAAAAATGAAACACAAGAGTTCCCAGAGTCAAATGTCATTTCCTGGGGCTTCGTGTGACCCTTTATTTAGCATTTTTTGGCCCTTATTTTATGCAAACGCGCTTGTACAACAAATCCAAAGATACGAAACTCCAGAAATCCATGACTTACAGCGTCAAATTCGCAATCTTATCCCGAACATGTGGTACCCTCAAATCACACGTAGCATTCAATTCGTGCACAATCCTCGCCAACGCCTCCACATTGCGTTCGACAACTTCCTTCGCCGAGCTTCGATTTTTCCACTGTAGTTGGAACTAAGTGTTTGAATCATCCTGGATTCCAGACCCTCTTCGAATAATCATCACAAATCCTATGCACGGCTTATAACCCCCCGGATTAACATATCGGGCTCCTTATACCTGGGGCGAGCTCCTTGAAAGGCCGATACTCGTTCTATCTTACTTTCCGTCATGGTACTATAGTATTATAGCTTTTCCGGGTAATAATAAATACTACATCGGGTATGTACTCTAGCATATGAAGCCGACTTCCGGGGTGTTCAAAAATCATAGAATGGGGGCGGCGTCTTGGCGGCAAGACGCCGACCCTTTTTGGCGGGGTGAAATTGTTACAAGCCCCGGGGGACCCGGTTTTATGGTGTCAAAAAGTTATTAGGGCTTTTATGTTGAGGATTTATATGCGCTGTGGGACCTGAGGGTGCTTAAGAAATATTTCAATAGCTATAGCTAGCCAATTTTAAGAATTGTCACTGAGTATTAAAAAAAATTGTAATCTCCTCTTTCCGAATCTCGAATTTGCATAATCACGAATTTTGAAAATTTCGGCTTTTCATGGTTTCTTAATAAACTCTAATATTAAGAATTTAGAAATTTGCATAGAATTTTTATGAGGTTTGAAAACCATCTGTAGACTTTCTCACAATCTTGGTTTTACATCCATCCACCGGGAAAGCCGAGATTCGGAAAATTTGAGGAAGTAAAATTTTTGAAACTCCGATGGTGCGAGATTTTGGCAGATTCCATTTCCGAGGTCGCAAGTTTCGTATTATGATAAAATTTTTAGTATATTTAATTTTGAACTAGTAGACCCCATACTCAAATGTTGTCATCGGAATTAGAAGCACCGGAAATAAGGTGACCATCTCATTCAAAAGGCGCCATCTCCCCTTCAAATGATATAGTGGCGCTTCCGATCCGTCGGGACCGACCCCTTGAGTGCTCCCAACCCAATTCGAGCCCCCAAACCCATTTTTGCCGCTCCCAGAGGCCCATGACGACAAATTCAGATTTCGCTCCCGGGGAGCTCCTCCCATTCCTTCGTCTATTGTTTCGGGCGGGGGGTGTCTTTGGCATTGAGGAGGCGATACTCCGAAAGAAGGTTTGGTGCTGATGTTTTCAGTTCTTAGGGGAAAGCTTATTAAAATTGTGCCTAGAACTCTACCCCCAAGCATGTGATTCTACCCCTTCTATCCTATCACGCTCCTTTTAAAAAAGCCAACCTCGTACTGGTCGGTAATCGTTCGATCCAGAAATCGTATAACGCCCATGACATCCCAGGCCATCAAATCCGGGTTGTAGGTTCCTTTTTGTTTCAATTCTTGCACTAACTCTGCTTGCGAAAGTTGCCTGCATTCCTCGGCAGTATGATTGATCTAAGAGATGCATAGCTTTTAAGTGTTCAACGATAATATTACCCTCGGATCAAATTGTCCTCCTTCATATTTGAAAGTTGCTTCCTCTGCGCTTGTTTTAGCAGCTACCGTACGCACACCGCTTGCAACAACAACTATCTAAATGGGATAATAAGGAGGCACCCTATTTTAATGATTCATTTTTTGACGTTTTTAGACTTGGAACTTATTGGACCCATTTGAAGGTGCAAAATCCAACGTCTCATTATGCAATCCCGGGTTGCAGGAACGGGTTTTGGGGTGCCTCCCGTTGATGGGGGACAGATATATTTGCACGTTGACCATTGCTTCACCTACCCGATCGTTGGGATCTTTCGGCGATTTTCGCAATGATCCAATGCGGTCCATGAAGAATGAAGAGTTCCGATTGGGAATGGTGGCCGAGATCGGGGTACGGGGGTAGTGACTAAAATTTCGTGTGTAAGGAAATTAGATAGGAAAAAGTTGAGACGCTATAAAAGAGTCTGAGGGCCTGATTATACGGTAGAACATCGCTAAGTGTTCATTTTTTCGATTTGCTTTCTCGCCGGGCCTTTATTGATTAATTTTCATGAAATACACTTTATACGTCTATTTTCTATCTGGTTCAAAGGGTAGTGAAAACGCGCAAGAGACCAAATTAGCGGGCGTAAACAGCATTCAACGAAATAACATCCGGCGAAATGATTTGGAATCAGTACATTCCCGGTAGAATCCACGCATTATTAGCAGGCCAGCCATCTGAGTAAACCTATTACGTTTCATACCTTTTTTGTGGTTTTTTCTCATCCAAAGCCGGCTGTGGAGGTGGAACGGCGTAGGTGGAATTGGTTGGGTCAGATTTCACGGGCTCTTTCGTCGGCGCCATCGTAGTAGTTCCTGCCGATTTGGCTTCTTGAGTCGGAATCAATTGTTCAGTGACCATTTCCGTTTCACTTGATCCGTCCTCGCCAGATCCCTCATTCATCGCTAGCATTTCCTCTATAACGATGTTTTTATTTCTGCCTAAACCACTTAGACTTCAATCCCCCATCCACTTGAAAATTGTGCCGAAATAGGCATGAGGCGTAATTTGATCTGGCTCTTTGAAAATATGGACGGAACGGCGGTCGGGGGCTTTTTGATTCCAAAATCTACCTGGTTCCCCTTTGGTCGTCTCTCCATTCTTTGTATTGTCCTGTAGAGCCCCACGGACTTTCTGTAGGTTTTCCGCGAGAACCTTTTCATAATGTTTCAGCTCATCAACTAAAGCAAATAATAGACCGGCGGGATGTACGTCGGGTTTTGGTGTTTGGCTATTTCAGATGTGAATAGGGGTCATTATGCGCAAATCGGGAGGAGGGAACAGATTTATAATGGATAAGGGGTGGAGAGGACAATCGGTGAGGGATCGTTTGGGGAGGATGATGTCAGGTTTTGAATTTTGGATTTTTGAACAATAAAAATTTGCGAATTGGATCTTCGGTGTAGACATGAGGATGTGAAAGAGAAAGTGGCGATTACGGAGTGAGGAGAGAAAGTGGAGATAATGTCAGCATTTTGATCAAGGATGGCTAGATGTGAAGGACCGGTTTTTCGTTTGAAGTAGATAGTATATAGAAAGACTTACCCGTAACATTATTCAAATCCAAATTCTGCAATTTCGTGAATGTAGTAGCGGTAACAATGGTGAGAATAGTTGACGAGAGAAAGATGCCGAGATTAAGACATAGTATCGTGGCCCTGGGATTGTTCATCGGTACGCATCCGCGTCTGAGGTCAGGGTTGAGCAGGAGGGACAGGATCTCAGCACCCAATACAAGCGAAAGCCACCAGCCCCGAAAGCTTCTAAAGGGGTTGGTAGTTTGAGTGAATGAGAGGGAGGGGGGGAGGTTGTGTTGGATCGGATAGGAATGCAAGACGGCAGCCCTCACTGTGCTGGTGGCAGCTGAGTCAGACCAGCAACTCCCTCCAGGCTCTACCCACCTCCTCCCCCCTTCCAGCTCTCCCCCTTAAAGGAGGAGCATCAGCCTGTCTTTCATGCATACGGCTCAGATCGATCCAAAAGCCATCGACAGAGACATAGACACATACACACACAACCCGCGAATACCCTCAAAACATCCTCCTTCTCCTCATCCCGCCCGATAGAGCATCATATACCAAAAGGAGGATGAGGAGAAGGGGAGGCTGAGGTTTCGGTTCTTCCGAACGGGCTTCGGGCTATCCGCCCCTTGTCTTTGGCTTTCGCTTATGGGTTGGAGGGAAAGGCAGAAGCGGATCTGGTTAGTAAGGAGGAAGGATATGAGGGAGAAAGTTCTGATAACGGGTAACTATTATATGAGGTAGTGTGTTAGAACACTGACCGCTCAAGGTTGCCAAGTGGAAGAACTGAATAAAGTTTTTCAAAATTTATTAACATTTTCGGCTCACTTGTGAATTTTCAGAAAGACAATTGAAATTTAGCTTCGCATAAATTAATAAACGACATGTTTTTAGCTTATTTTCTGAGTTTTGCCCTCATTCTTCTTATGTAAACACTTCCGAAAATTTTTCCAAAAGTTCCAAAGTACTTTGCAGGCCACTATCAACACCACCCCATCTTGTCCCTTTATTTATGGTCAACCGGAAATTAATCCGGACCACCCAAGGCGGGAATCGTTTTAAGGAACAGCCGCTCATTCTTCTTCCCCCTCTTCTCCTCCACATTTTTAGTACCGAATCGTGGCCGAATATAGCCGTTTTTGCCATCCGTTCCAGATAAGCCATCGGAAATTCTTCTCCAGCCCAGCGAGAAGACCTACCAAATTGTGAATCAGTGGCTATTATGCCGGTTGAGGGTGTTCGTTCCCTTCCATGGCATTTGGGGGCTAACGAAGCTCATACTGTTTGTTACGGCTAGAGCTCATTCCTATCCTGATAACCACAGCTTCTACTTTTACCTAAAGTGTTTTGGGGCGGAAATATTTCTCCGAAAGACCCCTCGGCCGCCGACCCAGAAGAGTATCTTCAAAACGAATTTGGAATGCGTGGGAAAGCACCTCGGTTTAGCTTCTCTCACCGCCACGCCAACTACAAATATCCGTCCGGCTGTAGGGTGTTCGCGACAAATAATGTTGGCGAAATTTTTTGATGCGGTTGGGCTTACGATTTTGTTATATTTCCGGAATGGGGGATGAGAGGGAGGGACGGTCAATATTCTGTGTGGTGGGGGGGTAGATTCTCACAATCGGGGGTAGCAACGGCAAACAGATGTAAATCGGGAGGAATCACCAAACAAAGGGCTCCATTTCAATGGCCAACATCTTCAGCCAGCGTTTTTACGATGTGCCCAAATGGCTAAACGTTTTTGTGGTTTTGATTTTTATGCTTAAAACGAGCCGTTTTTACATCCCAGTTTCGAGCAGCACCGGGCCGACCCTGTGCAGGATTTTTCGCGGGTTTTGAATCTGTTTTCTAAAATTGCCTACCCGGAATTGATCCCTCGAATTTTTGCTGTGGTAAAGCAGACAATTTTGAAGACTGTGACTTTAAAATGATCCGTAACTTCTTGAACATGCTGATGAACCAAAGTTCGCAATACTATTCGGTGTAACGCCTGCGTAACTGAGATTTCCTTAAAAAAAGCCTTTTCTTTGAGAAATCAAATCCTATTTTAGCGAAAGCGTTACCTTTAAAGCAACTAGAAACAACCCCATCTTCTCTCCCTGTCATTTCAATTTCAGTAAATTTCAATGACTTCCATAATTCCGCATGAAATGTTTCGAGTCCATAGATGACCCCTCCGAAAGTTCAAATAATTGAATTCCGCTTATCCGCGAATTCTCTGCCCCATCCATCCGACATTAACCCCTTTTACTCCCTCGAAAAGCCAGACTCCCCATCCACCTTCCCCGCCTCCCCTTCATCCCCTTTTGCAAAATGAGTGGAACTCGTTTACCCGGAAAATGCACCATTTCCGCGATATTGTTCTCTGTAGAACGGGAGAATGCTGGCCATTGTTCTAAATCTGGAGCAAGCAGCATGGCGATCTTAGGGGTCTTTAAGGGCTACTCTCATTTGCCGAAATTTGACTTTTTCATGGGGGTATATTGGGGTTGCAGGGGAAGGTGCTAGAAGCTTTTTGTTAGAGGGTCAGAAGACCACCCAGGGTGGCGGAGGAGGAGGGGAAAGGGTGGTGCTCCTGGGTAGAGTGTGGGCTCTGAGATCTTAATCGCCTCCCGGCTTAGCATCTTTGAGACGGCTTTTTCTGAAATGGGCGGTGAAAGGCGAAGTGGGAAGGGGGAGGGGGGAAGAACCACATTACCCAGGTTGCCAGGTAGGTGGGGGAATGACGCTTCCGGTGGAAAGTCTTCGGATGTGAAAGGTTTTATTCAGTTTTGGGTACATTTTTGGCATTCCGTGTATTAGTCAGCTTATTTTTTTTGCTGAAGGTTGCTAAACGGAAATTCAGGAAATGTTTTGATGCTTTATCGAATCCCTTCATAGTAGAATCTTGAAATCTGTAGAAATACTTCAAAGTGGTGTTTCCCGCTCACCGCCCACCGGTTCGCGAATTTTGTTAATTAGGGTCACTGTAAATTAAGTTTTTTGGGCTGAAATCAAATCCACCATAATTTGGAATGGGGAAAAAATGGGACCATGCATTGCAAGACCCCCAAGTTAAGCAACTTTCCTGCGCTTTTGAACTGATGCTTTCAAGGAGTCATCATTCCCATCGGATTCATTCAAGATTTCTGCTCCACATCACATCATGGGATCAGCTGCGTAAGATATTGGTCCCAAACCAAACGATCGGCGCTGCCCACTTCCAGGCCAATTACTGCATAATTCAGAATGCGCTGACGACTACCGATGCCCGCCCCAACATCGGGCCAACACCGTGTTCAGTGTCACGACATGGCGTGTGGGTATGTCTCGGGATGTCTGAGAGGTGGAAATTCTTGGTATGAGGAAAGGTGGTTCTTCTCCTGCTGCTGGGGGCCTGGTCCAGCTTCTCCTCGCCCCTTTTCCCGTCCATACTTGATGACCCATCCCTCATCCGCACATCATCCTCCTGCGCTTCAGATCGCTTTGCCGGGGGCCCAAAGGCGCTTAATTGGATTATCGCAACACTTTTGAAGGGACCCATTTCCCCCGGCTAGCCGGCCGTGGCTTATCCGGAGGACGGCTCCATCGTTTTTCACCCTTCACCCCGGCCTTGTAATCTTGAAATTGATCGCTCAGTAGATGCACAATTTCGTAGATTATTTTATAGAGTTTTTATCGTTTATGAAGGTCTTCTCTAGGTGATACTAGTCATCTTAGTTAGTTTTCATCCCAAGCGCATTAAAGGGGCTCTTACAGAACCTTTGCCTCGAAACGTTCCTAATTTTGCATAAATCTACTCTTAGTAGCTAGAGAGCGCGCCATATGAAATCGACATTGCCGGGTGCAAATTTTCACATTTCGTAGAAAATTCAAATCATAGCGAAAATTAATAATTAGCTAAAATTTGCAAATTTATCTAAATTCCATAAACCGATTTTAATTGCTTTGGTTACGGTAGTATGGTCAGTTCCGCACGACTAACAACATTTTACCTCCCTCCAAAACCTATGCACATAATTCCAAACACGAGCCCGGTTCTTTGCTGCTAGACCTCAAATTTGTATCCGCGTCAAGGTGGCCCCCCCCACGTGGAAACAGGCCAATTTCCGTCACTCAAATCGGCCGACGACTTCAAGTCGTCACGCCGAGCTTTTTGTACGGTTTTCCAGGTATTACAAGATCGGGTGTTTTGTCGTATAGGATATTGCCGGTCTTTTTGCTCCCTGACATCACTAGAGTTTTTGTGGGGCAGGCTGGGGGGGTTTGTTGAATCTGGAGGATGGGGCGTGCATTTTGGATGGTTTGAAACGCTGTTCTGCTTAGAAACGTTTGCTGCGCATGTTTGTTTAAGATGCTACTTTAAATTTTGATAGGATTTTGCGGATGTGCATCAAGATTTTTAGAAGGTCGTTGAATAGCGGCTTTTTGGAGGGAAAATTAAGAACCTTCAACGGCTTTATTTTTTCTAGAGGATAGGGTGCCGTATTTCTACTGATATAAGCCCGGGCATGTATTTTTATCTTTCTAATAGACGGCGTTTTACATTTTGATCAATCAAAATAGCGAAATTCGAGGGTAAAATTGATAGGCTTTTACAAATTTCATCGTTTGCTCGTCTTAAAATGTGTTACTAACAATACAAGGATAGTAGGAAAAAGGGCTGTTATTCAAAATTTTTGTGAATTCGCTGCAATTTTGATAGCATTTATTGGGTGGTATATATTAGAGGGCTTTATTTTTCAACCGCCGTAAGGAGATGTTATTAGAGGCTTGATGATAGAATAAAAGGGGCGTTTATAAACATTAAAGGAAATATGATATCTGGTATGTGGTTTAATTTGAAGAAAAATGGCCCTTAGCGCTAGCTTCAGTTGTATCCTTCTTTTCCAGCCCGTCCTATAAACTAAACTTCCCCGGGTGATTGGAACCAGAACACCTAGACACCAATTGGCAGCCGGGCCGTGGGGGGGTCAATTAAAGATGTGTTATGTCGACGGTTGATGTTCCATTGGGGATAGATCCTCAATGGGTCTTTAGGGATAGGGCATCCAAGCCGAAAACGTTGTTTTGGGGCAGCCCGTAGACAGCCCCCCGCCACATTCATCGTTGGGACGGATGGCCGGACGGATAAACAGGAGAAATCCCCAAAATTGTGCCCTCGGCCACG